AACCCATGGTTTTATTATGAAAAAATAAGGAGGGTATAAGGATGTTGATTATTGTCTATGTACTGTATGACGTGTCATATATTTTGAGTTGTTGCGAGTCGCACATTGTAGTGGGTCATGATCACATGTCCCAGTATCTTGTGATTATGTACCTAATATGTGTGAGATGAAAATGTATTAATTGAATTAATAAGTTATGATATGTGCTCAAGCATGTTTTAAGTACTTGATTTCATATGCATGTGTTTGATTTACAATTAATATATAACTGCATAGAGTAGGTTTTACCTTAGTTACTGAGTGGCTAGACTTACTACTCTTCTTTAACATTTTCAGGCTTTAGCTTTGGTATTGAGAGGGACAAAGCTACTGAAGCCTAGGTTGTGCAATAGCAATAATTGCCAATTCTATATTGTATATATAGTTGCACTTGTACTATTTTGTTATTGCAAATGTTTGAATTGTATTTTGGGCCCTGAGTATTTATATATGAAAGAGATATATATGTTGATAGGATTAAAAACTAGTATAAGTATAGAAATGATATTTTAAAACACATTACAATGATTTTTTATGCAATGCAATGGAAATTACTTTCCCTTCTGTTTTTAGTGAAAAAGGGGTTAAGGAGTGATTTTATACTATATTTGTATTTAAGTGCATGTGACGTGTTGTAGTGATAGTCCCAGGTCCAATGGATATGATTTGGGTATTGGAAATAGCTTTTGGCACTTGTTGTGGGTTTTGGACATCCTTTGTTTGTGAAAAGTTGTGAAAAGTGGTGAAATCGTGTTTAGGTATCCAACTTCCCTGTATGACTTATTTTGAAAAAAAAAACTCATGTCTTTAGCTCATTTATGAAAGAGCTCTCCGTAAATACCTAAATTATGACATTCGGATGTTAAAAGAAGAATCGAGATGAGTTAAAAGTTCCTTAATTTTGCTACATGTAACACACCGTAGTGTATGGTGCTTGAGCCGCGGCACGTGGCACAAAGAGTAAAAACACCATAACACAGCACGTACAAGCTACAACACACATAAATATATCCACGTAATGTTAATGCACATCATAGGGTCATAATAATACTAATCATATGCCCCTAACTCATACCAAACATAATACTGACAACTATGTGGTCGAATTCATATACATGATCAATGCCAACCTTATACCCTCCTATTATCTACAACATGAAATCGGTGGCTATCATATAGCTACGTCTTTCACAGACTAACCCAGCCTTTCCTTTGTAAGGAGCTATTAGGCTAGGATTAACTTACTTACTCATGTAATTTGATTTCTTCCAATACTAACAGCCATGGGGTTTTGTACCCCTAATCTAACTTCATTGTGAATGAATAGAGACTAGTTAGGTGTAAGTTCCTCATATAACAAGTGGACAGTCCCAATTAACTATGAGATAAGATACCTCCGGATTTCAACGGTCCTGTCAATATCACGTGGATTAAACAACTACTCCTCTCCCTAGGCAAACTCCTACCAATAATCATCATGCTATGCACAACTTATATAATTAGGTATTCAAATCAAACATATCATATTATATAATCTCACATATTCATACTCAATTACTCTAAATTCTCCACATTTCAAATCACAATTTTTTATTCACAATAACATGCCAAGATAAATTCATAAATCACAATTGGATGGCATGTAAGAGATTTTCATTTATCAAACCATTCACAAGTTCCTCATTTGCCAAAAATTGCATCTATAATTCAAAATATAAATCATGATTCAAATCAACTATTTTCAACCAATAACACAATAATATTCAACTATATAAAATTAGGTTACCTCTGGTTACCTCAGATCTTTAAAAGGGTAAAGGTTTACCTCTCACACTAATCACTTTCAAAATTTCTCACAAGCTTAAATTGTATCAATTCGAATCAACAACAATCATAATCAAGAATATCATCATAATCCCGTTCTTCGGACTTTATCAATATTAATTCCACATTTTTTACTCAACCAATCTCATAATTCACTACCTATTTATACCCAATGGGTTCACTAGATTCTATTTAACTCATATTACTATCCTTGAGTCATTAAACCATCATCAATGAGCCTCAAACACTCCCAACAACCATATTAATTATAATTTTTGGACATTAAATACTCCACTCAACTAACCATACACAAAATCACTAATGTAGGGTTTAACTACCTCTAACAACTCCCATTATATTTATTTTAAACCAATGCAATCGAACCCATAACTTCTATAGATTGAAAATTACCATTAATGCTTAAACCGTAGCTCAAACCTTCATAAATGTGATAGAGAAAGGAAGAAAGAAGCACTATATATTCACTTTGTAAGTTAGAAAGCTCCACAATATCACCAATAAGGTCCCAAATTGTGCCTAGCAACGCTAAGTTATGTTCTTCATTCCTAAATCTTTCTCCCCTCTGTTCTCACACGTAGAGCATGAATAGATTAAATCAAGATTTTGGCCATGTGCCCCTCTGCTACTGTGCGTGACACAGAGAGGCCTTTTGCATTTAAAATTGCCTCCATGTACTGTGACAGATTAACCACACGCAACGGCATGTGGCATAGAGTGCATTCCTTCACTTTTTCCCCTCCTTCCTTGCCCAGGTGACCCGACTTTACTTTGAACCCCCTTTTAGGGTTGAAATCACAATAAATTATACCAATGAGGCCTTTCTGGCCACACACCTCAATAATTTACTAATCACACTTATTAGGTTAACTAACCACGCTTAATTTTCTCGGATGTTACAACATGGACATTGCTTTTTCCTCCTGAGGATACTCTTAAAGACAAACATCTGTGTTGGTCCTTTTAATGTAAAGAACTGTAGAGATCGGTTGGGAAATTTTAAATGGGCCTTCATGGATAAAATTAAATCTGTATCAACTTTCATGACCAAGGTACTTGCTCTTTAAAACAATAATGTTAGCCACAAATCTTGGTAACGACAATGTAATGTTTGAATCTGATTCATTGCTTCTCATCAACTATGGAAGCGAGTTGTCCTAATCAATATGAGCAAAGATGTCGTGATATCATTTTGGAAATCCTCAATCTTTTGGCTTCAAATTAAGATTGGATCAGCTTCCTTCCTCTTTACTCCTTGTAGGGGTAACTTGCTGCTAATTTCCTTGCAACTAATGTACCCAATTGGGTGAGTGGAATCACCATCACTCTCTTTATCATCTCTTCTGATCTCATATGCCATGCTCTAGGTTTTGCTGCCGGTGTTGTTGCGACTCCTTCATGCAGACTAGGCATTGGTTAATTTTGCTAGCTCTTCACCCTTCTTGTTGCCTTTGGTTTTTTTTTTTTCCCCTTTGCTTTGTATATTCATCTTTCTTCTGGTAATTGTTGTCGGAACTTTCTGTATTCTTTCGGTCGTTGCCTTTTAATATCGTGGATGCATTTCAAACTTCAAAAAACATGGACACTAATCTACAGGATTGCAAGTTACCGCAGATGAGGTAAAACCTAAAAGTATAACAAACTCTCCTTTTAATGAAGCAGATGAGGTAAAACCTAAAAGTAAATCACAGCACATGCCACTCGTAGTTCGACTCATGTTTTGTTAGTCTGGCAGTGCCACGTGCTAGAATATAAATAGGCTGCTGCAGTTCTTAGAACGCAGATCGCATATATAGAAGAAAAAAATATTAATTAAAATGCCATTGCTTTTTTATTTGCAGAAACGGCTTGCATAACTGCATGCAACTGGGCAATGCAGTGAGGAGACAGAAGGGAACAGTAGACGCAGACATTGACTTAACGTGTAAATCTGACTTCTCATATCTAAACAAACTGCTTGCTACTAGCTAATTGAGAGTCTCTAATAATTAATGAACCTCCTCCAACTGTTTTATCAAAACTATCAATTGTCAAATTTTTCGATTCGATGTGATTTTATCATATTCTTCTCCTTTTCAACCAACCAGTCGATGCCATTTCTTTGTGGTAATTCTTTCCTTTGATAATGTTGGTCGTGATTTGGACTTTCTAAAAGAAGCACTGCGTCATTAAACACGGTCGGTACTAATTAAAAAGAAAAACATAATCTTCACTTCCAATGGTTTTATTGTGTTTTGCTTTTAGTATTTATAATTTTTTAATATTTTTAGTCTTTATAATTTTAAAAAATTTGAGTGAGACTTATTATTCAGATATCTATAATTTCAATCCCTATAAAGACTGAAAACATTAAAAAAATTGTAAAAACTAAAAACAAAATCTGATAAAATTATAGAAAACAATAATTATATTTTCCAAACTAATAAGTAGACTACAGCACTCTATTCCATTCATATTTGTCAGAGTTAATTTGGAGTGCAGGGCTATATTACACTAATTTTGATGCGTACCACCGTGTGGAATAGTTTTTTCTGGCCAAGTTAACCTCAAATTGGCTATATATATAACTACCACTTTAAAGCACGAGGCTTCATGGCTTTATTATCTGTCATCAAATTATATTATTTTTACAAGTGAAGAAAACTATATATAATGAATACATCTGCCATATATGTGTATGCTCACGAATTTTGTATATATATTTCTGTATCATGATCTAGAAGACTACATCTTCATTAGCGTCAACGCAAATCTCGAACATGGAGCACGCATGGGTCTTGTTTCTTTCTCTCACATTCAATCTCATATAAGGGGAAAACACCAATGAAGTATTACATGTTTGGAAACTAGATGGTGGAGGCATTTACATTGTTCAATACCTCGTATTTAAATTTTGTATAGGTTATATGTTAAATACACAGTTAGTGAGAAATATATATATATATATATATCCATATAAATAGGGCATGTGCACTACTCTTCTCAGTATTCATTAATGTAGTAATTTTAATTTGTGCCATGAATCCGCCACATAACTCGTAAAGAATGAAAGTCAATAACAATCAACATAATGGTGCTGAAGATCGATGATTATACAGATAGTAATTGGATCTTTGAAGTAAAATAATAGAAAATATATGCGCGTATCAGCGAAAAAAGGAACGTATCATTCGTATAATTGTCTCAGAATCAGAGGCGCTAATCAAGCTGAAAAATCAAGGCATATGAACGGACTTTCTTATTACTTACCCGCTCCTCCCCTGCATGCACTCGTGTATCTTTCATGAAATGTATCTATGGAAATTTCGTTAAACTATCCACTTGTGTTTCTTTCATCAAAAAAACAAGAACCAGAAGTACCATAATCTCCCATCTTCGCACCCTTTGCATCTTGAACCTGCTGTTGATCAGACTCAGACATGGAAGCAGACGAAGAAGACAGTACTCCCGGTGATGACGAGAATAACGGAAGAGAAGAATCGCCCAGAAATACCGGCTCATTCTGATACGTATAAAGTCCCGACCAAGCAGCTCTTTGCAGGTCACCATGATGGCCACCACGAAGCAGCTGCGCGTACTGCAATAGATTCGGGAACCCTTCGTCGACCGTTGGTGGAGCCAGAGGCGGTTGAGACACCGTCTGCGCCGCTTCAGGCCTCGGCAGGCTTTGTGACGAATATGAAATGGTTGGAGAAGGAGCTAAAGAAACGCGTTCGGGGAAATTGAGCTTAGCTTTGCTTCCTTTGAACCTTAACGCTGCAGCATCATAAGCAGCGGCTGCATCCTCGGCCGTCTCGAAGGTGCCAAGCCACACTCTAGCTGCTTTTTTAGGGTCTCGGATTTCGGCGGCCCACTTCCCCCATGGTCTCTGCCTTACTCCTCTATAGTTTCTCTTTCTCACACTGTCGCCTGTCAAAGTGTCCAAGTTCAACATTTTCAGAAAATATAGCACTACATACAAATTTTCAAACTATATACATACAAACGACACACCAATGGCAAGTACACAGTGCGGATATACTGAATCACTTGTCGCCGTAAGATCAACATCATTATCGGATCAACAGAGATAGATCGAGAGATCAATCAAGTTTTGCAAGTAAATCGAAGCACCACCCTAGGTCCCTAGCCAGCTATAGCTAGTTGCACTCAGGTTAATAATTGATGGAAATGTCTTCGTAAAGTACTGTGTGCGAAAAAATTAACATGGGGAGGTGTTCATATATATCCAGCCATATTATCATCATAATCATGTAATTTCTTAGAGAGAGAGAGATAGTGTGTGAGGTAAGAATTATTGGTAATATTCTTAACAGTTAGGAAAAGAAAAGGGGCATATGGGACCTTATAAATACCTTGATTTTGACGTGGAGGCCGGGATGGGTCCTGCTTCTGGATCCCCCCAGAAGAGGTGGTTACTTGACCATGTGAGACTGGGACTGAGAAGGTTTTTGTATCACTGGCCGTGCTGAGAAGATACGAAAAGGTAGAAGGTGAAGTTTCTTCCCTTTGGATCTGATCTGATGGTGATGGGTGAGCTCGAGACATGAAACCTTCTCTCCTGGCTTCTGATGCATCATGATGATCAGAAGGTAGAGGTCTCTTTCCATGCCTTCGATCAGCCACCTTGTTCAGCTTTCTCTCACAACTTCTAGTCTTATAATAACCCTCCTCTTTACGGTGCTTTGCTTCCAGCTGATAAGCAGATGGAGGCAGCAAGATCTGAGATTTTCTTATCCGAAAGAATGATCGAGAATGAATGAAAGGAAAGACCAGAACAGAAGGGGAGGATACGTTGTTCACTTGTCATCTTAAGTGAAGAAAGAGAATACGGAATCAAAGGAAAAGACCAAAATAACATGGGCTGCGTGTCGCATGTTCATCGATTCGATGGGATCTGAATTTGAAACTGAATTTCAATTTTATTTTAAATCATGCATCTATTAAAATTTTAAAATATTAAAAATATAAAAATAAAAGTATATTAAATCTGAATCACCCCATTTAAATTTAGATGGTCCAACTTTGACACCCAAACTCAATCCGCTTGCTTGTAGGTTTTTCATTGCTGCACGTTGAAGCGAGAGGCGTTCTTTGTCCTTTCAAGATTTGGAGGTGCCAAAAAAGTTGAAAAAGATATATTATTTCTTAAAAAATGTTTTCCATATTCGGAGAAGTAATTAATTAATTGTTTGAAAAACAAAAGGTCGGTTCGCAATGGCGTTTTACATGTGGCTGCGAAAAGGGCAGGGAGTGGCTTCGTCGGTATCATCAGTGTGCCGCCGTCACACCCCTTGCCGGGAGATTGCCTTGTCCATAAAAGGTGCGTACGGGTGGCAATACATTGAATCTATGCAGATAAATAATTTGGGAATGTGTCTCTTACGGGCATAAAAAAAATGAAAAATTTATACTTGCTAAGAAGGGCCAAGGTCATTATTAGTAGTTAATTTAAATACTACTCTTTCTATTTTCAAATATAAGCAAATTTTAATTGACTATTTGAAGAAAATTTATTTATTAATATTAGTTATTAATCTTAATAATTATATTTGAAATTAAAAAATAGATTAAAATATCTTTGTGAATAATGAAACAAGCTTGTTTTGTTAAAATAAATTTTGATTTTATGAGGGGGCAAGTTAAAAAGTATAATAAATAGTACTTCTTAAACTTTGTGATCTATAAAAAGGCAAAACATATAATAGTCCTTTTATAATGAAAAAGGGAGGGGGTGTAAAATAACCAAAACACTTCTCTTAAAAAGTTTTGCGAGGCTGCTAATTACAACCATGATTTTCCCTTATAGGAGAAAATATATCTTAGAGAAGTCCCAAATGAATATTTTAATTACTAGGATGTATTTTTTTTTTATATTTTTCTAATCAACGCGTCATATTTACACGAAAATCCGCGGTATTTGCATGCTATCCCATGGCGTTTCGTACATATTGGACTCACTTCACTGGTGAGTAAATTTATCGCCTGAGATCTCTATGTGATTTTTATTTCTTCTTGAAAAAATCATATATACTACTCCCTCCATTTAAAAATATAAAATACTTTTAATTAAATTTTACCTCTCAATCACTCTATTTAGACACTAAAAAAATATAAAGTGATATATTCAATAGGACACTTTAAAAAAATAATGAGTACACCTTAAAAGATTAAAAATATCTTATATTTTTTAACATTTAATTTCTCAAAAAATATCTTATATTTTTTAACGGAGGGAGTATTTGATTTGGATGAAGGAAAAAAAATGAAATAATGAAAGAGAAAATCAGGAAAATAATTTTTATGAATATTAATTTTTTAAATTATTTTTAGGAGTTTTATCTCCTAGTTTTCGTTCTTCATATTTTTCCCCCAAGGGATAGAGTCCCAGGTTAAAAAGGATCAATTGCTTATAAATTAATTCTATATATGAATATGTGATATTTACATGTAGTGTGCAGGCTGGGTTCATTGGTAATTAAATTTCTCACGAGTGACTTCTATTTGATTTTATTTTTTTTTTACGCACACGCACACGTGTCTTTAAAAGCTTTTGTATATGGACATTTCAATCGTTTTACAATTTAAATCAGCTCCTGATAAAAACCTCAGCCTTATGCCGGTTTAATATTGTAATTATGTAAATATGGGTTATTTTTCTTAGCATCAAGCATATTTATTGCTGCGTATTTACGGCTCAATTTCCTGATTTTATTTCACGATATTTATATGGTTGGCACTGACAGTGTTTGTTGACTTTAATTGCTTGAGATATAGGACCAGTTGCACTACTATATAGATAAAAAATAACAACACATCTCGTTTATATTTAATTTAAATGATTTAAATATACAATTTCTTATTTTTATTTTTTAAAAAAATTATTTTAATGAATACATAATTTAAAATAAAAACAATCTCTTAATTTTCAGTTTTCAAAAAATAATTTTTTGTTTAAAAAATACTTGTTGAAAAACTATAAATTTAGATCATAAAAATTATATCTGATTAATTCAGAGATAATGAGCTCTTGATGCTTATATGTGTTATGAGTACTGAAATTAGTTCTGATCAAATAACAGTGGCATGACTTCTCATATAATTTGGCTTTTTGATAGTCTAAACAGCACGCCTGCTGTGTGTTAGGGATATTTTTTTCATGAGATTTTGTTAAAGCAATATCTTCCTTTTTAATTTCTTAATTGATTGAAGGTCTTCCTTTTAATCATTTCGCGTGTTTGAATCTAATAAGTACTACTTAATATATTGTCGTAATTCAGCACATAAATTCCTGCCTCGTCATTTCATTTTTCTCATTTCAGTCTCATTTCATCTTACCTGAAAGCAATGCCAGGGAAATTGAGACAGCTCAAAACAATAATTATGTATATAAAATAAATCACGTTATTGTCATGGAACAAGGAACCGACAAATTAATTCATCAATATTGAAATAACAAATACGGAGAGTGAACAGGTATAAAGAGCGAGTTTTGTCAAAGACAGCTGATGTGGGCGCACTTATTTATAAGGTAAAGAAAAAAAAAATTAACTCTATTTATAAATTATATTATTAAATTTTTATTATAATTTTTTTCTTTTAGCATCTACTTAATGTAAGAAAAATTTTGTCATCAAATCATATATATTTGACTGGACAAAATTTAAAATTTGTTGAATTTTTAAATAACATTAGCGCGTATTAAGATTTTCTTTTGTTCTGAATAAACATGTTTTGGGTGACTCGTAAATAAATAAAACATGATGAGTATATATAATGAATTATATAAATTATATGAAGAAGTCGTATCATTTATAATTGAATTTCAGGCTTGATTGCAACACACGTACATTAACTTCCCCAAGAAAGATATCGTCAGCTGTTTAGTTATAAAAATATTTATTATTATTATTATTATAATGTTAAGAGCACGCCTATGGTCAGGCTGGACCAAGGGAGCATGCAGGCATGGTCACGATGGGATTGAGGGATCGTGCAGGGACCATCCTGGCCAACGTCTGATTAAGTTGATGACGCACCCGCTCACGTCATATTCGATCAAGACGAATGTTTTGCCCTTATTATCCCTCGACCCTCGACCCCCTTTTGAGGTCATGAGATCGGCACGACACGTGAAAATCAAAACAGATCAAAGTTGATCGTAAATAATTCTGATATTTTAATCAATTTGAAAACTCAATTTTGGAATGTCAAATTACTCGAAACTTCTTATACTTGATAAATAGTTTTTCGGCTAGTTGATTATTTGAAATTCATACAAAACATGTTGAGAGAATATAGTCGTGGACCTATCGAGTATTTGAGTACATCAATTGATCACTCTTCATCAGGAGGGAACAAAATGAACCGTGCGTGTTGGGGCTGGGGGTGTGTGAGCGTAACCAATAAATTATTGATTATGGAAAGATGTAATCATAACATGCATGCCTGGATATCGAGGATGGTCAAATGAAATGGACAATTTTTCTTTTTCACGTGTTCGACGATACATTAACGCGTGAAAACAATTATACTGCGGGTTCAATGGGATTTGTCTAATTGACTTTTGGAAACACCGCTTCTCTGGCGTCTTTGAATCATACACCTAAAATATTGTTTTCATGATTGATGATTTTTCGCAATAAGCATCTGCGTACTCGAACCAATTGATTTTTGTCCGCTGATTATAAGCTGGCTCGGGTATCACTCGGCCCATCACTCAGCCTGGCATTGGATTGGGATCAATTAACTGACCTGCAGCCGAGGTTGGCTGAATCAGTATGTAATGGGTCCGAGTTTTACACCGTGAGAAAAATACTATTATCTATTCGTTTGAATTTTAATTTGCATTTGTTAAAAATATATTTAAAAAATCTAACTACTTATTAAATTTGATAAAAATACATTTTAAATATAGTTGGGATGTGCTTTTAAGAATTACTCAAATAGACATAACGTTTTAAAGTCTGTTCGACGGATCATATATATGGTAGAGTTTTAAATCTATCAGTGTTGATCTATGGTTGTTTCAACGGTGACAGTGGGACCAATTTATTTTTTTTTCCCATTTATTACCCAGTAGAAAGATAAATTGGTGGACAAAAAAATATGTATGGACCCAGTTAAAAAAAAAAAACAAAAAGGAGGGGAGGCATGAGACCTACCATTAAAAAAGTGGGTGTGGGGGTTAAGCTTTTCAATCCTGGTTGACACCGCGCCTACATAATTCTCTGTTGGATCCTTTTTGAAAGATTGGGTTAAGTATCACATCTATTAGAAAATTTGAAATATAAGCAACTGAGTTTTCACTGATAAAGTGTTTGTTCCTAATAATATCCTTTTTCATATTAGCCTTATTGTTAATCATACTTTAAGCTGCTTTTTTATTTATTAGTCTTTTATGTAATTTTTCTCATTTTCTTCTTTAAAATTATTTTTTAGAATCTTGTACAATTTTTTACTCTGAGTTAATGAATTTTCTCATTACAGTGAAAAAAAAAGTGGTGTGGGACCCATAATTTAGTCAATAAAATTTATTTATATAGGGTGAAAAGCTATTGTTATGTAAATTCTCACCTGCAAACGTTAAAATTTAGGCTATGTATAAAAAAAAATACCACTAAAATTTTTATATTTTGAAATATTACGTAAGATCTATAATAAAAATTAACAGAGGATTTAAGATTCTTATAAAAATTAATAGGTGTTAGATGTGCAATGAAGTTACCAATTTTATTCAGACAAGGTACAAAAAGTGATTTAATCAAAACAAACCAATATAAAAAATTAATTTACTCAACGTAATTAGTTTATAA